GCCAAGCTTGGCGCTTTGTGCTGCACGTCACGCCAAGCTTTGTGCTGCACGTCACGCCAAGCTTGGCGCTTTGTGCTGCACGTCATGCCAAGCTTGGCGCTTTGTGCTGCACGTCACGCCAAGCTTTGTGCGGCACGTCACGCCAAGCTTGGCGCTTTGTGCTGCACGTCATGCCAAGCTTGGCGGCCAAGCTTGGCGGTTTGTGCTGCACATCATGCCAAGCTTTGTGCGGCACGTCATGCCAAGCTTGGCGCTTTGTGCCGCACATCACACCAAGCTTTGCCAAACCGCCAGCGGTGCGGTATTTTTTCTTTCTTGACTGGCGCCGTCAGCCATTGTGGTCCGCTAGTCAAAAAAGAAAAAGACCGTACCTCGGGCCGGAGGTGCGAAGTTTTCGGAGTAGGTGACGCGCAAATCTCCACAAAGCTGGGGCCGTGTAGTAGCGGTTTTTTAAAACACCACTCCGTCCCGGATCTATGTTGACAGACCAACCAACAGCTGCATTTCTCTGAGCCCAAAATCTACAGTGCCGCTGTGAAGAAAAGTAATTGCGGTACCCTTTTTCCCCACGGAACGTCGCCCGGGTCCGGGGACAGTAGATTTTTGTCCTGGTAATTGTAGGCAAGAAAAAAATGAACTGCGCAGGGGCCATTGGTGTGGTCGTTTAAAAACCACCAGTACCTCGCCCAGCCATTTTTCTCTCTGACGTTGCTGTTAACGCTACGTGAATTTTTGGAGGTGGGGCTACCGGAGCAACATGGCTGGCGGCGCCAGCCAAAAAAAGAAGGCCCATGTGCGCTTGTTTTTTCTTTTGCGCGCATGGCGTTTCCATGGTTGGAAAAAAATATCAGCCAAGGGTGCTGGTGGCTTAAATGCAAATCTGGCTTCATGCTCAAACCTCCGCGTATCTCCAATAGCGAATGCGTCTGCAGGGAAAGAAGTCGAAGTATGACCAACATCCCTCCTCCTGGAGTTCTACATTCCTCCTCCTGAAGTTCTCTGCGGCCAATCGCTTCTCTATCGCCTTCCTCTAAGGGCGATCTGTGTATGCTGTCAGCTTAAAAAAAAAGCAGTGAGAAGATGGTCCCGCCTGTTTTTTGTTTCTTAAAACGCATCTTTCCTACTTAAACGGTTAAACCCCCATCTTTTCTTCCTCTCACTGCCTGGCATACATATACATACCCTTGACTTGAGTCCAGTGCAGCTCATATTTTCTGTTTTCAGAAGTAAGAAGCCTTTCTAGCAGGATGCATTTTGGTGTTGGAGATCAGCTCTTTCACAGAAGTCCTACCCTGCAGAGCTTGCATGTGCATCAGCATGGTGTCATTCACAGCACATTTACCTGTGATGCCAAAGGACAAACTTGTATATGTAGATGCTAACATCAGTTCTGCGCTATGTCTGCTGCTACTACCGCTGCTTCTGCCACTCTTCTTCTCTGTCTGTCTGTCTCTCTCTATCTCGTTGTGTGTCCGTGCGTGTTCATGTGATTTGCATGCATGCAGAAGTGTGTGTGTGTGTGTGTGTGTGTGTGTGTGTGTGTGTGTGTGTGTGTGT